CGATGTGATGAACAGCATGAGCGACCCCACGCTTCCACTCACGACGATGGAGTGGGCCGAGTGGGGCAACCCGAACGAACTCGAATATTTCGAGTACATGTTGCAATATTCACCGTACGTTTTATCTTAAAACGTCATATCTATAGTTTACGTGGAACGGAATTTTACGTACGATATAACTTCTAACGGATATGCAGCTATGACAATGTCAAGGCCCAAGCGTACCCCAACCTGCTCGTGACCAGTGGCCTCTTCGATCCCCGCGTGGCCTACTGGGAAGCCACGAAATGGGTAAGTTAATTGTCTGTTACGAGTAATTGGAGGCGGCATTTTATCCGTTTTGGATTTATTATTTATGAGGTTTTGATTTATGTGCCGTGTATACAGGTGGCGAAGTTGCGTGACTTGAAGACCGACAACAACCAGGTCCTGCTCAAGATGAATCTGGACTCTGGGCACTTTAGTGCGAGCAATCGATACCAATCCCTCAAGGAGAAGGCGGTGGAACTCAGCTTCCTCTTGGATAAGCTCAAGTACCACCACAAGTGCTAAAAGTAGTAGTAACCCACGTCACAGTCGTCTTGTATATCAATTGTATTCCATTCGTGCGTATGTGAGTTAAGTGGATGTCTGTCACAAACCCGGTATTCGATGTGGGGGAGTGATGTAAAAATGTGAAGTGATAGATTAAGACTTAGGCGATCTGTCGGAACTGAGCTATGCCTTTGTAGAACAGATCCGTAGGGTTTGGGAGATCAGCCTTCAATGGTGAGCCTTCTGTCTAACTTGAGTGGAATATGGATGTAGATGTAGTGCGTTGCGGATGTAGGAAAAAGGGTGCATTGATGGAAGAAGGTGTGTCGTTGCATGTAAACGCTGGCCGTTGAAGATGGACCTCCAACCATGTCTTGGTCTTGTAGTTGTAGAGTCCGGGTCTTCAACCATGCTCTTTGCGTACGTCATGACATTCCCCCCCATGTCCTAGCGGCCGGCAATAGCCACCGGATCGAGATTGATTCCAGGTATTTTCGACGATCGATGATGACGATGCCGTTTGGACGTACTGCAATGATCTTGAATGGGCCAACACTGGCCGGTAGCGGTTTGCT